AACTACCACAACAACGGCTCCAACTACCACAACAGCTGCTCCAACAACCACAACAGCTGCTCCAACTACCACAACAGCTAGTCCAACAACCACAACAGCTGCTCCAACTACCACAACAGCTAGTCCAACAACCACAACAACAGTTGCTCCAACGACCACAACAGCTGCTCCAACAACCACAACAACAGCTGCTCCAACAACCACAACAGCTGCTCCAACAACCACAACAACAGCTGCTCCAACAACCACAACAGCTGCTCCAACAACCACAACAGCTGCTCCAACTACCACAACAGCTGCTCCAACAACCACAACAGCTGCTCCAACTACCACAACAGCTGCTCCAACAACCACAACAGCTGCTCCAACAACCACAACAGCTGCTCCAACAACCACGACAGCTGCTCCAACGACCACGACAGCTAGTCCAACAACCACAACAGCTGCTCCAACTACCACAACAGCTGCTCCAACAACCACAACAGCAGCTCCAACTACCACAACTGCAGCTTCAACTATCACAACTTCAGCTCCCACTACCACACCTTTAGCTCCAACTACCACAACTTTCCTTCCAACTACCACAAGTTTAGCTCCTACTACCACAACTTTAGCCCCGACTACCACAACAGCACTCCCCACTACAACATCCGCTGCCCCCCCTACCGCAACTGCATTTCCAACTACTACAACTACAGTCCCCAATAATACAACTTAAGCTTTGTTGTATGTCCCAAATTGAAAGTTAAGTAAGTGTCCTTCACATGACAAATAACTTACAAAATTGAATTTGACACTTGATTACCTTAAAAAAGAACAATCTAGACAAGTCAAGAATGAACAATTACAGGCCTATATCAAATCTTCCTTTTTGAAGTAAAATGATTGAAAAAGCTCCTTTTCAACAGTTAAATAACTTCTTAACATTGTGCGACTGTTTTGATGTCTTCCAATCAGGTTTTCAACAAAATCACAAAACTGAGACAGCCCTGGTTAATGTGTTTAATGACATCCGTTTAAACACAGACAGTGGCAGAACTTCAGTCTTAGTTTTACTTGATCTCAGTGCTGCGTTCGACACAGTTGACCACAGCTTATTATTCGACCGACTTGAAAACTTGGTGGGTGTTTCTGGCACAGCACTAAACTGGTTTGACTCCTACTTAAATGGCAGGGACTTCTTCGTGTCTATAGGTAACTTTAAATCTGAGCAAACAAAAATTACTTTTGTAGTTCCCCAAGGTTCCATCCTGGGGCCTCTTCTGTTTAATATCTACATGCTCCTACTAGCTCAGATTATAAAAAACAATAAAATAAATGATCATAACTACGCAGACGACACACAGATCTATATTACAATGTCGCCAGGCAACCATGGCCCCATTCAAACACTGAGTAAATGCATAGAACAAATCAATGAGTGGATGTGCAAAAGTTTCCTCCAGTTAAACAAAGACAAAACTGAGGTTGTTGTTTTTTGAGCAAAGGAGGACCAACTCAGAGTCAGCACGCAGCTTCAGTCAGTTAAATTGAAAACCACAGACCAAGCAAGAAATCTGGGTGTAGTGATGGACTCAGGCTTAAATTTTAAAAGCCACATTAAGACAATTACAAAGTCAGCCTACTATCACTTGAAGAATATATCAAGAATCAGAGGACTTGTGTCCCAGCAGGACCTGGAAAAACTTGATAACCATGCTTTTATCTTCAGTCGTCTTGATTACTGTAACAGTGTCTTTACAGGTTTGCTTAAAATGTCAGTCAGACAACTGTAGCTGATCCAGAACGTTGCTGCTAGAGTCCTCACCAAAGCCAAGAAAATGGATCACATCAGTCCAGTTCTGAGGTCTTTACACTGGCTCCCAGTCTGTCAGAGACTAGATTTTAAAATACTGCTGCTGGTTTGTAAAGCCCTGAATGGTTTATGGCAAAAATACATTTGTGACCTTCTGATTAATTGCTAACCATCCAGACTGCTCAGGTTGTCTGGGACAGGTCTGCTCTCTGTCCCCAGAGTCAGATACAAACGCGGCGAAGCAGCGTTCAGTTTCTATGCGCCTTATATCTGGAACAAACTCCCAGAAAACTGCAGGTCTGCTGAAACTCTCAACGCTTTTAAATCGAGGTTGAAGACTCACCTGTTTACAGCTGCCTATCATTAAACAATCTTAATATGGTCTTAAACTCTGCACAGCAACTTAACTTATTACATAGCTCTTTTTAATATTTTATTTCATTTAATTTTATTTGAATGATTTTTATTTTATTTTAACTTATTTTACATTTGTGACTGAACTTGGCATTTACTGTGATACCAATTACCAGGTAATTGAAGAACTTAAAGTCCTTAGAAGGGCTCTAAACATATCTCCTGGGTTAACAAAAAAGGAATACCAATTACTGGGTAATTGAAGATTGCTAAGAAAGAGGCAATAAACTGAATATTGGAGATTAATAAAAGGATAGAAAAAACGACTCCCTTAATAAAATCTTGAACATAGGAGGATATATCTAACAGTCTGGGATATGCCAAGGAATGTCTGAAAGGTTCTTCTCTGTGATTGTGAATTGTTTGTTTTAGTGATTTTTCAATTTTTCTTTTCTTCTATTTCTTTTTTTCCCCTCTGTCATGATGCTTTTGATGTTGTGAGAAGCACTTTGAATTACCTTGTTGTGCTATATAAATAAACTTGCCTTGCCTTTCATATTTCTAATAACAACTTACGTTAATAAGTTGTACTGAGCTGAAAATAAAATTCATCCCATATTTATTCAAATTTTTTGTAATTGCTCAATTGCTAGTATAAATAAAAGCTGCAGTCAAACTAACCATGGAAGACAATCAACGATTCACAGAAAAAGGAATTGTAACAGCCTTTTTAAAAACACACTCCCTGCTCCTTTTTATGTAAAGGGATTACGTCCTGGTATAACCCTTAACAGTAATGGAACAACTCTAATTGGACACTCAAGGACAAATCTGTTTCAACACAACTGCCTGGCACTAAATTTAAATACATCATGTTTTTTTCGAAGCTTTAAGTAATAATTTCGACAATAGAAAAAAAGAGTGATCTAATGTCTAACTATTTTGGACAAAAATGTATAAAGCTTCACGATGTCGAGGTATGTAGTCCATATAAGGTTGATATTGCCAATTGGTTTTGCATCATGTATCAAACAATGACAAGTATGCACGCAACCTGGTAAAGAGAAGAGTGTAGACACTGAGGCAACATACTCTCCATTCTAAATTCATGCGCACCAGTCCCTCAAACGAGTACCCCACACCTGCCCTGCAAAGACTGCGATCTGACCAACGTCTGACACTAACACCTACAATTTCCATAGACTTATAATGGTCTACACTTTAAAGTGTATGCACACATACGCCACACCTGGATGACACCTAACAAAAAAAAATCTCTTAGTCACACATAGAAGCAGGTGTGGTGTGAGTGACTCTTAAGTGGTCACAGCCGTTCAGCAATCTTTTCCTAACTGCTGATTATTTCTGCTCTCTGACCACTGAGGGAATCTCTGCCCTCATCAGTAATAACTGAATCAAATGGTCCTTATTTAAAGCATCTCTGTGCTGTGGAGAGCCTCCGTCAGGCAGGTTGGAGCAGAAATGTAATGTGGGTGGGCTGGTGATGATGACTGCTGGTACTAATATCTAATATAAGTGTTAGATATGGAACCTGGTATTCCTATCCCCACAGCGGTCAGTGAACATCATACTTCAGTTCACCTTGGCCGTTAAAGGGAAGACGAGATGCTGAAGACTACAGCTGGGAGGGAACACTTTAAATCAAGTGAAGACAGGACAAAGGCAGTGTGCGATAGAGTTGGTTTCCTTCGTCGGACGGCACGCACCCATTCACACTGGATCCGTTTCTGGAATGTCAGCGCAGCGAAGTGCACCCATGATCAGCTGTACACACATCACAGGAGAACCACAAGATCCCGCGGGAATAAAGAGAAAAAGACAGTTCACCAGGGCCAATTCATAGTTTAATTTTTCAATTCAAAATTCCTGTAAGTGTCCTAAAACATCAAAATACAGACTAACCAAAGCAACAACACCTCTGTACTATCATCAAAGCATAATAACTAGTTCTTACTGTTTTCCTCTCTCCACCAGTGTCTGGCAGAGGTACTTCTTGGCGTTGCGGTGATCTGGACAGTTCACCAGGGCCAATTCAAAGTCAGTCATCGCCTTCATGATGCTGCCTTTGTTAGCATACCTAAAAACAACCAAAGAGGGTTAAAGGGAGCTTTGATCGAAAGCATTCATAAGAAAATGAACCCGTAATGAAATAGTTGTTAAATGCAGCCTTAGTTAATGTACACCACCACTAGCAGAATAAAAGCGCTCTGCCTCGTTCCTGTCTCCATAACAACAGTCTGTTGGCAGCGCCCGCTGTACGACTGACACTGCTCCGTTGCTTTTGACTGCATGGTTTATATTTGAGATCATTTTTAACCCAGCAGACATGGAGCAGAAGAGGATGCGGGTTCAAGACACGATCCGTAGGAGGCAAACATACAGGGAACATAATACATTATGGAAAGAGTGCTGGTGATATCAAGAATGCCTTTCTGTAAAGTTGAAAGATTTTCAACTCAAAGCGATTGGAGTGGCCCGCACAGAAAAGGCAGAGCGCTCAGAAAAAAGGTGCTGGGCGCTGCGCTGTTGCAAACGCCCGCCGAACGCCAAAATGATTAGCCTTTTACATTACACAATCCTCCTATAAAATATGAGTCAATAAATTGTATTCATAGAGCACATTTAAAAACAGCAACAGCTGATCAAAGTTCTGTACATGGAACAAATGCAGTACTGGAAAATAACAATGTTTTTCTCCATATGTAAGTTCACTCACTTTTAACCATCTCATGCATTGTATAATGATTTTGAGCATAGTTAGTTTCAATAATGATGTCTTGTTAAAGCCTCCTTGAGTTCAGTGTTATGTTGTGTATATTATGTTGTGTGTTGTCAGGCTGTGTAGCTACCTGTAGTGTGTGGGCAGCTCCTCCCGGGGAATGACACCCAGTTTGACGTGCTCCATTTTGGAAGAAAGAGACGCCTGGTGGAGGGAGACTGTGACTTTCTCCTGGTAACGATCGATATCTTTCACTGCAGCTACAGAATGACAAAATCCAAATTAGGGAGAGGTTTTTAATATCTTTTCTGTCAGATACGAGGGGTGACAAATAAACGACAATATCATAAATGTTATAGACTATTGAAAAGTTGTGCTTCGTTGCAGGCCCTATCTACAAAGAGGCTCTTCTTAAAATGTGCATAAAAAAGATATCGCTGTCATCAACCAATAAAGCTGAGCTCATTGTGTGATAGAATTTCCACATTAAGGCTTCAGTTTCACCACAACATTGTTGCGTCTATCAGTAAAGGAGGCAGCTACGGGACATTACGGGGAAGTCATTAAATATGCACTTGGAAAGGTTGTTTTGATTGACAGATATGAAGCTGAAGGTGTCACAGATGTCAACACAATGGCATTGCAATTTATGATTCTATGACAAACAGTCAAACTCAAAATAAACTGCAGCGCAATGACAGATGACATTAAATTGAACTGCAACAAAGGGTTATTGTGAGAGTGTTTGGTGTTAAGACTGGCATCAACAACTTATTGATAGGAATAAGAGGCTACTTTTTTTTTAACACAGTGTTGGATCGTGACTTCTAAAGTCATCAGGTAGCTGTAGTGATCGCATTACATGGCAGTCTTTCTTATAATGGGGTATCCTGAAGTTGAACATCCCACACAACAGGGGATCACAAGAGATACTTCACAATGAGGACAAGTCCGCCTGGTCTCCAAACCTCATTTAGTCAACAATATACCCACAGAACATGTAACACATCTTCTTAGATTGCATAACATTTTACACTCCCAGAGTAGGCTCAGATCATGGGCTATTTCTTAAAATATAAATATATAAATCAAGGCATGGAAAGTTCTTTGCTAAAAATAGGGTCATGTAAAGTAATTACAAGACACTAACCTCTGATGAAGTCCCCAATCTGGTAGTAGGACAAAGGATCATCATGGCTTCCAGTGGAGGGAATTTCTCTAATGTGACAGAGAGCCTGAAGGCAGGAAAGAGGAAGAGGGGAAAACTAAAGGTTTGACTACATTTCTGTGGGAACACTTCAACCTTTATCAAACAATGTAAGTACAGGGTATAAGAGGAGGAAATAAATGTTGTCCACAGAATGCATCTTACAGGATATAAGCATATACATTGGATAATATAAGATGTGCATTGCACCAAGACTCATTTTGTTTATTCCCACTGTCAGACATGCAGGACATCTCAGAACCACTGAGTTGGCACGTTGTGTAAAACTGGACAACTAACTATTTCAAGTATGCTGTACATATAATGGTGGACTAACTGGTTTATAAAGTTTATTGCATCATGTTTGCACATTTAACTGATTGAACTTGTTGACCTACCGACAACTCCAAGTCTTCGATGTCTCTCTTCAGCCCTCCTGCCGTGCAGAGCAATGTCAGAAAGAAGCCGTATTCTCTAATGTTGTTGATCCTGCCCACCACAATATCTCCTTTTTCCAAATCCCTGTACAGCATGACTCGCCTCTCCTCAAAAGACGCCTCCATGAATAACTCCACCGGTGGCATCACAGCATAGGGCTCTGGGGAAGGACAGGTAGAAACTTGAATCATGTAGATGTTACAAAAAAAGTGCTTTTTAATTATCCTTACATTAAAAATCACACATTTTCTCTTTGTTTTGGTCTACATGTACAATTTGCCTGCCATTTTTCTTTCATACAAATATAAAGTTTTGTCAAATGTCTCCCAGGACTGCCAGTTCAGCCAGTTAAAAAATAACCAAAATATCACTAAAATTAGTCTCAAGTTAGTTACTATTATTAATAATATTATTAATAATTAATAACTGTATTTAATAAATTGAAGGCGTGAAATCTGCACACAAAGTCCTTGCACCCAGCTTGGATCACAAATACAAATACACCAGTAATCTCAAACCATTGCTCTCTTAAATTATAACAGAATTTATTTAAACAAAGCAACATCAATCCAAAATCAATGAACTTAATCAAACAAATAACTATTATAACGTAATCTAAGCAAACAAACATGATCAAGCAAAACTTGTGAATGAGGTTTAAAAGTGTAGTGTGTGTGTGTGTGTGTGTGTGTGTGTGTGTGTGTGTGTATGTATGAGAGAGAGAGGAGAGAGAGAAAACAAGATGGTGGAGAGAGACAATGCACCACGTGGCTTCGTCACATGGGGACAAAATGGTGGACAACAAAGGAAGCCGTTTGGCTGCCTTTTGAAATAGTTTGAGTTCTCTGAGCTGAGTTCAGTAACTGTTACTTAAACACCAGAAGCGGGAGGGAAGCGGGATTCAGATCTTCGACCAGAGCGCTGCTCTATAGGGTCTTCTGGTTGCAGGAGCCGAGTTCTTTATGTGTCCTTGTGGATTCAGGGATCAGTGGGCTTCCTTCAGCGCTCCTGTCCAGTTGCATTCGATGACGTCTTACGAAAAATCATCTCTTCTTTTTGCTCGAACCTGATAGCATCTGATTGCGCCCAAAACTCCTAAAAATATGCCGTGGAAGTAGTCAGCTGAATCATCTGATGCTTGAATTCAGCATGTGAAGAGCTAACTAGACTTAGCAACCTCAGCTCTGGAGTTTAACCTATGTAAGCCAAGAGGAGGAAAGGGTTTGTCTCGAATGCTGGAGTCCATCATATGGAGAGGGTACCCTCTGGTGTCGGCAGAACCCCACTTGAAGGGAAAGAGCAATGCTTTTAAGGGCTGGAACTGCCTGTGGGTTTATCTCAGGCCTCCTCCAATGAGGATAGAGAATTCAGACCCCCCCACACACACACTTTTCACACCTATTTGTTAGTTGTTATTGGGGGGTGCTGGGCTAGGCTTGCGATACGCTTGTTGACAATCAACAACTAATTTATCGATCGTCTAAGATGATTGTTTTCAAAATGATATGAAATAAGTTATGAATATCTTGCCCAGAGAAAGAAGTCTGAAACATTCTGCAATCTGTGTGGGTTTCTTTTGTATCGTGTTGGCTACACAAGACTTCATAAGGACTGATTTTCATTTGATGCTACTAAAGATCTTGAAGCCAAAAGAAAAATGAAGATGAAATATGTGTGTGTGTGTGTGTGTGTGTGTGTGTGTGTGTGTGTGTGTGTGTTTCAGGGAGGGGTGTAATAAATGAGAAAGTCAAAAGGTTAAACATTCCCTTCTGCTTTGATCATGTAAAGTATTGTTCCCATTCAATTAATTACAGTGTGGGTGTCTGTTTCATAACTTGTCATCACAGTTCAATGACGAGCACAACTGACAAGCCTGCATCCTGTGGAATATATTTACTGAGAATTGGATTTATCTCATGGTGAAGGGAAAACATATAAAAGAATAGAAATGCTGTAATGATAAAGTGTCACCACCAAAGACACTTACACTCTGCATTGCTGTTGTTTTGCATAAATGTCTATATTCTGTGAAAAAAGAGCTGCAGGAAATGTTAAATAAATCAGAGCAATGCTTGCAAGATTAAATATGGTTTAAGGAATCTGGAATATTCTTCATATCTCAGCTATTGGCTCATATACATAAAGAAGCTATTGTCTTATAAATAATGTGTGTATTGAGTGATTGTTTTGAAGGGGGGACACATTGTGTTTGTAGTAATCTGTAAGAGGTGACCAGTTTTCACCATATGTTTGTCGTCAAAATAGTTAATGAAGTGAAAAGGTAATATATGTAGTGTTTCCCCAAGGTTTACAGCGTGGGGGGGGGGGGACACACGTTGACACGGCGACACATGTTCATGGGCTACTTTTAATGACAGCTGTCCTTTTCTATCGGAAAGGTATCCTTAAATGACTTCTTTCCCTGATTTCTGACTCTATCTACTATCCTATCCCCACAATAAAGGCACAAAAAGCTCCAAAATAATTTGAAAATTTTGGGCCGCCCCCCTAATATAATGTTAGGGGAAACACTGTGTAAACCATCCTGTAACAGGATTTCATTATTTTCACCAACCCAAAAGCTGTGAGTGCTGCAGAAGAGAGGCACTGCATAACATCAGCAAACCTGTTTTGCAACATTGATAAGAGTTTCCAGTAAAGGGAAGATTTTGCAGAAAGGAATTTTAATCGAGGGCAGCTCTGGATTATGATGGCGATGTATTTACGCCTTGAAAATCTAGTTGTTTAAACAAGATAATGTGGTTATCCCGAAGATCCAAAGTATCGAATTAGACACAGACACAATCAGTTACGTTGGAAATGCATGGAAAATACTGCGGTTTTAGTATTTGACATCCAGCCATGAGTCTTAATTATTTTCGTATTTTTTCTACCACTGGTCCATTCTTCCTCAGGAGATATTTATTCATAGCCACATTAATTTATTAATTGATGGGTTACTTGAAAGGTCATTCCAATGTCTTTCTACACAGGATCACACCTCCTTCAGTCATGTAAAGTATCATATATCAACACTGCTGTTAGAGCATTTTCTATTTGTTCCTTCGTGTGTGGAAATGGGTAATTGTACCTGCTTGAATGCAACACCTGCCTGATGCAAGTTTCACAATCTTGTTCACCTTTTAGACTTTTGGATTTGATCTGAACCATGTTGCATCGTCATGTAGAAAATTTGTTCATAAAGAAAATAGCATGAAGAGCTGAATTACAAGAATCGTTATTGATAACTTTTGCTTTTATGCTCTAAAATAAAAATAGGATATACTTGATTTCCTGCTCGTTTCTCCTGTCATAAACACTTGTTCATTACGAACAGGATGTGTGTATATATCTGTTGGTGAGAAAGTGTCTGGTAAAATGAAAGCAACACCATATGCAATTAGAAAGTCAAACAATCATCAAAGTAAAAATCAGCGTTGGATCTCAGAATGTGAATCGTCATCCTTTGAGAACAGGTTCATTTTTTTGTGCTCATTCTACAACCTTAACAGTAATGACTGACTACAATTGTACATCAGCAGTGAGCAAATTTTCCTGAAATGTCCAGTGATGCATGGTATAATGTTACTGCAATTTTCTTTCAATATGATGACTTCAATAATTTAGTTTGTATTGTCATACATTTTTTCCAGGGACATGGGAAACATGTGGCCTTCATTTACCTGGTTTTTCAGGTTATAGGAAAGTCAGTCAAACCCTCCCTCCATGTGTGAAGGAGGAGTTATTCACATGCTAAGTTCAACCTGCAATAACAGACTGAATACTCGTCTACACCTGGGTAAGTGAGGAGTAACACCATCAGCATGGACATGGACAGAAAACTGCTTTATTGGATATTCATGCTTGGATATTTACATCTATCCTCTGGACAAAGTAATTATTCTTTACTGTCTAAACTGTGTTATTGTATTAGATTGGACTGGAGACAGAAGCGATGTATCTGTGTTTTATGTTTGAGGGATTTATTGTTGCTTTCTTTAATTGCCCACTTTTAATCTCTTCTAAGAAAGAAACTGTTATTTTAAAGATTTTGTTTTTAACCTGTGACCAATGTGACGAGGACTTTAACCCCCACTACCTCTACATGGGATGCCTGCCTTACCAACTGAGCTAAACCATTTTATTTATAATCCTATGAAAAAAAACAATATCTACCCTCTTTTAGCATGGATTATTAAACATCGAAGCAGGTTTTTAAAAGTTAATGTTTACTTCTTAGAACATGCAAATTGGCATAATAGATTTAATAATAATTTTAAATATTCATAATAAGTTACATACAGTTCCACTAAAATTGACATCATGAAATAAAACAATGCAAGAATTACTTTTATTCAATTTTTTTAAACTAAGGCATAAATTTTTTTTTTTTTTTTAACAAACACATTTTCAGTTTGTCACATATCTACTGGAGTGGAGAGAATACATTTGAGTTCTTGAAAGTGAGTTTCAAATGTTTTCCTCTTAAGAGTTTGGAAGTTTCCCTTTGTCATACAGAGGGGAATAAGACTTAGTTACATCAAACTACCTCCACAGTTGTTGCCTGGAGGCTTCTAGTACAGCACAACAAGAGGCAATTGATGAGAGAGCAAATATTATGGGAGAGCAGGGATGTGTCAATTCCGACTTGACCTCTTCACATAGAAGCACGCTGAATAAAACCAAGTTAATAAGTTTCAATAAATAATGGTTTTGTTAAAGAGAACCTGGATGTTAATGATTTATAATTTAGCACGTTAAAAAAAATAAAAAAATAAAATTCACAAGATTAAAGTTGTACATTTACTAGAATAAAGTTATAAATTGACGAGTTCGAGACCAGCCTGCACGAAAATGCTGAAAGTAGAAGTCTTAAAGTCTTTAAAGAATAAAAGAATAAAGTCATTATTTTAGTCTATATCAGAAGAGCAGCAGCATCCTGTTCTCAAATGACAAACATGGAGCATCTTGTCCTAAAGGTTTCACTAATAAGGAAATAGGCTACTTCCTTGTGTAGTCGGTAAAAACAGTTCAAGAGAAGTTTTCACTTCAACTTGCAAGACTTTGTTTATCTGTAAAATGATGAACAGGACACAAACTGGCTCTGCACGAGACATTTCAACAAGGCAGACCGATAACAGATAAAAATAGTTGTGTTGCTTATGCAGATATGAAACTACACATGCTTTTG